AGTCAAACAGGGTGTACCGGGATAGGATGGCTGAAGAAATGGATTGTGACACTTTTGATAAAATCCAGCGGGAGATGGTGAAGAAATGCTACGATGTAAGGGTTGAGGTCTGCTGAGGTCTAATTCTGATGACAACGGGACAGATTGGGTTTATTGGAAGAGAAATCAGTACTGGGGGTTTTCCTTTCTCACTCTTTCACTCCTGTGCCTCTTTCCCCTTTTCTGACACGCAGGTGCAAAGTTGTGGACACAAAAAGGCTGGAACACGGTAGTTTCCTTGGAAGGTGGCTCGGAGCTGCAGTGGGTTTTCCTCTATTTGTTCTATACTATCTTCTTCTCTTTTACAGGACGTTGAAGACACTTTAGAGCAGGTTAAACACATGAATATTTATTGCCATTTTGCCAAAGGCCTCGGGGAACCTGGTTATAGGCCAGTTCCAAGCTGGGAGGAGCTGAACCAGATCCTCGTGGAAGCCTTGGACAGCTACAATGATGTCAATGCTGCCATGAACCTGGTACTGTTTGAGGATGCCATGTGCCACGTGTAAGGGGCTTTTCTGCCTTTATGTCCCCATCATTTGTCTGTGCAGATGGTTTTGTGGAGTTTTCTGGAGGATGTAGGAATATGGATATGTGGGCTGAGGCAAATAATTTGTACTTCTACAGGGCCAAGTGCCTGCACTTGGGGCACAATGACCCTGCAGAATGCTCCAGGCTGGGGCAGAGAGCAGGGAAAGCTGCTTGGGAAAAGGCCCTGGGGGTGCTGGTGACAGAACATGAGCCAGGGTGTGACCAGGTAGGCACAAAGGCCAGCGGCCCCTGGGCTGCCCCAGCACTGGGGTGGCTGCAGGGCCAGGGCAGCACCTGTCCCCTGTGCTGGCACTGATTTCTGCCACATCTCCCAGACTGACGTTCTTCACCCCGCTCAGAAAACAATTTCTTAGCGAATAAAATATGTATTGAAAAGCAGCGGGCAGAGAAATAGGAAAATGCTCTTATTAACGAGAGGTTCCGTATGCTTCAATTTAGCTGCCGCATCAACCGCATCCTGGAGGCGCCGCGGGGGAACGCGCTGCTGGTCGGCGTGGGAGGCAGCGGGAAGCAGAGCCTGACCCGCCTGGCAGCCTTCCTCAGCTCCCTGGAAGTCTTCCAGATCATTCTGAGAAAAGGCTACGGTGTCCCTGACCTCAAGGTGGGGGACTTTGAAGGGCTGAGGTGGAGGGCAAGGAGATAAAGAGCAGAATTTGCCCTGAAGGTTTGTTGGGTGTTGGGAAATAGAATGGAGGAGGATGACTGTGAGCCCAGGTGTGGCCAGGTGGGAGAGGACAAGGCCACCTGGAATGTGCCAGTCCTGGGGTGGCAGCAGGGCCAGGGCAGTGCCCGTCCCCTGTGCTGGCACTGCTGGGGCACCTCCAGTGCTGGGGACAGCTCTGGGACACTCAGCACAGGAAGGACATGGAGGGGCTGGAGCGTGTCCAGGGCAGGGATGGAGCTGGGAGCAGCTGAGGGAGCTGGGAAGAGGCTCAGCCTGGAGAAAAGGAGCTCAGGGGGAACTTCTGGCTCTGCACAAGTCCCTGGCAGGAGGGGACAGCCGGAGGGGTCGGGCTCTGCTGCCAGGGAACAGGGACAGGAGGAGAGGGAATGGCCTCAGGCTGGGCCAGGGGAGGCTCAGGGTGGATATTATGGAATATTTCTTCACTGAAAGGGTGGT